CCGTACTTTGCTACTACATTGCCGTACTTTGCCACTACTTTGCCGTACTTTGCCACTACTTTGCCGTATTTTGCCACTACTTTGCAAGTAATTTGCAGTACTTTACCACAACTTTGCCATACTTTGCCACTACTTTGCCGTACATTGCCACTACTTTGAAGTACTTTGCCACTACTTTGAAGTACTTTGCCACTACTTTGAAGTACTTTGCCACTACATTGCAGTACTTTGCCGTACTTTGCCACTACTTTGCAGTACATTGACACTACTTTGCCGTACTTTGCTCAGCACACACCTGCTCTAATTCTTTTTTCCCTGTACATAATGCATCCTTGTAATCACATCTGCCAATTCTGGTAATAAGAATAAACTCACTAATGGCGTTATCGCTGATTTTGCAAGCATGCCCCTCCGTCAACATTTAACAATTGAAGAGAGAGCCAGGGCCATAGGCTGGTTGAATGAGGGTGTGTCCTTGCGAGAAGCTGCAAGAAGGCTAAATGTGAGCTCATCTGTTATTCACAAACTATCCCAGCGCTTCAGAGAAACCCATACAGTACATGGCAGACCCAGGACAGATCGCCCATGTGTCACAACTCCTGCTGAGGACCGCTACCTCCTTATCTCAGCCCTTCGTAACCGAATCGTAACTGCCTATTCCCTGCGTAGGACCCTCAGAGCAGCAACTCATACCATCGTGAGCGACCATACTGTGCGAAACCGTCTGGCCATAAATTTCAGGCCAATGTACCAGTCTGTTAGGATAGTCCTCCCTCCCACACCACAGAACTGTTGGACACGTCAGCAGTGGTCTTCTGTCGTCTTCACAGATGAGTCAATATTCACTTTGCAGAACAATGATGGTCGTATTCTTGTCTATAGACACCCTGGTGAACGCTTCACTGATGACGCCATTCGACAGCACAACCAGTTTGGTGGTTGTAGCATCATGGTATGGGATGGCTTCAGCTACCACCAATTGATCCCACACCATGTTATTGATGGCAACTTAGATTGATTACCTTGTCTACAAAGGATAGGAGCTGCGGCGGTCCTACAGGATGATAATGCCAGACCACACCGTGCACGTGTTGTCCAATACAACATCAACAGAATGGATTGGCCTGCTTATTCACCTGACATGGCACCAATTGAACATTTGTGGGATCAACTTGGTCTTCGTGTTATGGGCAATCATCCCCCAACAGTGGATCGTCGTCAGCTAGCTCAATGGCTGATCCAGGAGAGGCAAGTGATACCACAACGTTCACTGCAGAGATTAGTGACATCCATGAGGCAACGTTGTGTTGCACGTGTTACTGCAAGAGGTGGTCACGCCCATTATTGAAATGTTCTATAAAATGGGATTTTCATTTTCAGCCCTTCTCTCTTTCAGAACTCATGTAACGAAATGTGTAATAATTACATGCAGTCTTTATCATCTGTTTCATTGTGCAGATGTTTCACGTCAATTATGTGACCAAATGGGTTTATCTGAAATATCTTGCTGTAACTGAGAATATTCAAGTGTTCCTTAAATTGTTTTGAGTAGCATACATAAACATTGTGCCATTGACTATTTCCTTTCTC